GGGGGAGGGGTGCCGAAGTGGCGCAGACACGGAGGCCAGTGTCAAGGTCAGCATTCTCGCAATTGGCAACGGTGCGGCTGTACAGGCGCGGGGCGCCGCGGAGGGGGGGGGGGCCCCCGCGCGCTTAGCTCCTCTCGGCCTGCTCGATTTTGACGTCGTTAGTCAGCAAGTGCTCCCCGTGCCACTTTTTCATGTGTTTCTCCAGGGTGCTGTAGACGCTGAAGGGCATCTGGCAGATGTCGCAGCGGTACACCTCCTTGCCGATCTGCCCGTGCGTCTTCATGTGGCGCGTGAGCTTGCTGCTCTGCGCGCACGCGTAGTTGCACAGCTCGCACTTGTAAGGCCGCTCGCCGGTGTGGCTCCGCCGGTGCACCGTCAGGTTGCTGCAGTTCTTGAACACCTTGCCGCAGTACTCGCACGTGTCGCTGCGCCGGCCCTCCTTGGAGCTCGGCCGCCCGGGGCCCGGGCCGCCCAGGTGCGGCGTGCTGCCGCCGCTGGCCGTGCCGCTGCGGCCCGACAGCCCGCCGTCCAGCAGGTCCCCGGGCGGCGTGGAGAAGCGCAGGCTGCCGTTCTCGGACGAGTGCTCGGACGACGTGGCGAAGGGCGACTGGCGCGCGTCCGTGAAGCCCAGGAACGGGTCCTTCATGAAGTGCCGCGACGCCGCGTAGCCCACGAGCCACTGCGAGTACACGTTCTCGGACGGGATGAGCGCGGCGGGCGGCAGCTCCAGGTCCTTCTCCACCTTGATGCGCTTGGCGGCGCTGTTGAGCCCGGGGCTGGGCAGCGGCGCGGGCTTGCGCGGGAACAGGCCCGGGAAGGGCTCGGCGCCCGGCGCGAAGCCGCCGCCGCCCCGCCCGTTGACCGCGCCGCCGCCGCCGCCGCCGCCGCCGGGGCCCGCGTCGCCGCAGCCGCCCGCGTCGTCGTCGTCGCCCGCGTCGCCGCCGCCCGGCGCGCGCTTCAGGAAGGCGCCGCGCTTGGGCTTGTCGGCCAGCAGCTCGCCGTACTGCGGCAGCGCGCCCAGCCCCACGTTCTCCATGACCTTGCCCAGCACCAGCGCCTTCTCGTCGGCCAGCGCCTTGGCCGCGCCGCCCGCCACGCCCGCCGCCCCGGCCCCCACGCCGCCGCCGCCGCCGTTCTCGCGGTTGCGGCTCAGCTCCGAGTCCATGCTGAAGCTCGACTCCGGCCGGCTCTCGTTCTCCAGCAGCAGCTCCTCCTCCTCCTCCTCCTCCTCCTCGTCGTCCTCCTCGGGCTCGTGGCCCAGCGACGGGTCGCTCTCGTGGTGGCGGAAGTCGCCGTCGGCCGCCTTGAGGCCGTCGCCCGCCAGCTCGCTGGTGCCGGGCTCCGGGGAGCTGGCGGCCGAGAGCCCGTCGTCGGAGCGGCCGGCCAGCGAGCCGGCCTTGTGCATGTGCGTCTTCATGTGGCGCTTGAGCTTGCTCGCCTGCGAGCACGCGTGGTCGCACAGCTGGCACTTGTAGGGCTTCTCGCCCGTGTGGCTGCGCCGGTGCACGATGAGATTGCTCTGGAACTTGAACGTCTTGCCGCAGAACTCGCACGACTTGCTCTTGGCGGGCGGCTGCGGCGGCGGCGTGCCCCCGGGCGGCATGGGCGGCAGCGGCGGCGTGCTCAGGAACGGGGACTTGGGGCTGGGCTGGAAGGGGTTCAGGAGCCGGTGCATAGGGTTGCCGCGGCCCGGCGACACGGGCGGCGGCGTGGAGCTGTTGCCCGCCAGCTCGCGGAGCCGCCGCGAGAAGTCCATGGCGGGCGAGTCGATGGCCATGGGGTTGAGGCGCATGACTCGGTCAAAGGCACTGGGGTGCTGGGCGACGAGCCCCATCTCCTCGGCGCTGAGGCGGTGCGGGTCCAGGTGGTGGCGCGGCGGCGGGCTGAAGAGCGGCGGCGTGCCGGGCAGGCGGCCCTCGCCGAAGCCCGGGTGCTCGCGCAGGATGGGGCCCGTCATGCGCAGCAGGTTGAAGGGGTTGCTGTCGCCCAGGAAATTCATGAGCGGGGACTGGGCCACGGCCTCGGGGCCGAGCGGCGGCGGGATGGTGAGCCGCGGCGTGAGCGAGCTGCTGGCCGGCCCGGGCTCCAGGTAGATGCGGAAGCCGTGCGTGTTCTGCGCGTGCTGCAGCAGGAACCACGCGCTGTTGAAGGGCTGCTTGCATGTTGTGCAAATGTAGCTGGAAGGCTCATCTTTACCTGGGGAGACACACGGACAGAAAGGCAGAGAGAGCGTGAGAAGCGGAAGGGGGGGGGGCGGTGCACACCGCGGGGCCACTGACCTGAAGGCGCGCGGTGGGGTGGGGAGGGGTGGGGGGCGCGAAGCCAGAGTCGTGGATCCACCGGGCTCTGGAGGGCCGCAGCGGGGCCCCCTCCGAGCAGGCCCAGGCCGGTGACGTGCTGGGCGCTCTGCCAAGGAGGGGTAGGGGCTGCAGGGGGCTGGAGGGCTGAAGGAGCCGGCCCTGTGGGCAGGTGGGCCCCACACGGCCTCAGCAAGCAACCCCAATTCCCAGGCTCCGGCTTGCTCCCCATGAAGCAAAGGTGTGCTTATCCCCATGGTCTCGGAAGCCAAATGAGGCGGTGTTTGTGAGAGTGCCTGACGTCTGCGAGGAAACGGGGAGGTCACCACAACCTTAACGGTCCGGGCTTTGTCCACCAAGGCACTAGTGACATTGGACCCCGATGACCGTGTGTTGGGGGGAGAGGGGCCTGTGCACTGCAGAGTGTTTATAAGCAGCATCCTTGGTCTCCAGCCTCTACAAGCCCGTCACACTCCCTCCCCCAGTTAGGAAGGTCACAGAACTCTCCAGGCACCCCCTGACCTTTAGAACCACTGATTTGGCAATATCTGATCCAAGGAGGTTCTAAAAACACAAGTCAAACTCAACTGCCTGGCAGACTGTTTTTTTAAGTGACATGGCTGATCCCCTCTGCGTCACTTGGGATTTTTGCTAAAGGACCTTCTAGCATTTCATACACCACACTATTCGCAAAAAGCACCATCACATTTAAACATGGATACGGAAAAATGAGGAATTCGGCATAAGAAGATCGCTGCTGTGTGACAGCTGCCCCCCATTCCTCCTATGGCCTCACACACACCCCTAACCACGGAAGTGGCCTCCACGGGTCCCCGGGAGGGGGTGGACAGGGGGCCACTGGCCTCCATGAAGTCCGCTGCCAGAATGCTAACCAAATGGGAGAATGTCAGATGTGCCGGGGTGGTCAGACGAATGGTGGCAAGTGCAGATTTGTTACATACTGGCTCCGGTGACGTCGGAGGCAAATCGTAGTGGACACTTGTGGGCACCGAGCCAAAACAGTTACTGTCTGTGTCCATCGTCGGGGCCGTCGCAAAATGGAGACCGAATGTTTCATCCAGAACCCATCTTGTGGCCGCCCTCCTCACCCTGCGGGTGAAACTTGCTGCCTTTTCGGTATGAACGTCTGCTAATGCCTCCTATAAAGGGGCAGGTGCGGGCAGGCCCTGCTTTCCACCCTGAGGTTTGCTCGCTGGCCCGCGAGGGAAAAAAAGAGTAAGACCTCACAGCCGCGATCTTGAAGAAACCCCTTTTGTTTTGAGAACTTTTCCCGTAACTGGAAGGCTGGCACGCTGCTAAAGTATGGTAGCCGCATTCTCCCTGGTGAAGCCAGAGGTGCAAGTGAATTTCCAGGCCCCACATCAGTAAGATGACGTAGGAATACAGTGGGGCGCCGATGGAGGAGACCCCCTCCATCTCAGCCTCTCCCCAGAACACTTAAGGACCTCTGAAATCCCACGCAGAGACTCATTTTTTTGTCTTGCCTTGTACGAATTGTTTCCAGAGGACTTCACGTTCAGCTGTAAAAGCCAAGCGACTCAAGGGCCCCATGCGCGGGGTCCTACACAGGGAAAGCCGGACGGCTTCAGGGGGAGGGGGCGACACCTCCCAGCCCCATGCAGTGTGCACGCGGTTGGCGCAGGGTGGAGATCCCGCTAGGCCACACATCCAGCTGGGCCAGAACACCCCCCGACCGGAAACCAAGGCATCTCTACAAGTTTGGTGTCCCCCAAGAATCAGCAGTGCCCTGTCTCCCGTTCCGCGTGCATGTGCGTGGCAAGGACGCCAGTGGGCAGGGGGAAGGGCAGAGAAGGGAATAAAAGAATTCTGAGGTTCGGCTTCACTTTGCTTTTAAAAACATCTCAAGAGGGGCGCCTGGGTGGCTCAGTCGGTTAAGCGTCCGACTTCGGCTCAGGTCATGATCTCGAAGTTCGTGGGTTCGAGCCCTGCGTCAAGTTCTGTGCTGACAGCTCAGAGCCTGGAGCCTGTTTCAGATTCTGTGTCTCCCTCTCTCTCTGCCCCTCCCCCGCTCATGCTCCTTCTCTCTGTCTCAAAAATAAAAACTATTTAAAAAATTTAAAAAAAACACACATCTCCAGGAGATCTTCTGAGGCAATTTTCTTTCTCCAGTGCGCCCAGTGGGTCTGGGCAATTCAGTTCCCCATGCTAGAGTCTCTGAGGAGAATTCTCCCCACCTGGAAAATGGCCTCCCAAGGCCCTGGTCCACCATGTTTCTCCCAGGACGCCATTCAGCAGCACCGACCCTGGGCCTTCCCTTCCAGCACACGTCCCTCAGCTGACGAAGAAAACAGCATCTCCCATCCTAGCTTATTAGTTAATGTACTTGGGAGACCAGAACCCTTCGCCTCACACTGCCTCACAAGAGAGCGGGCCAGAAGCCATAATATTTAGAGTCCTACTCAAACCCTTTTCTAGACCAAGGCAGAATAAATACGTAATAAATAACAAGAAGATAAATAAAATGTCCCTCTCTGACACGGGAGCTAATAACGCAAATGAAGTGCCACATCCCACAAGGTCATAGATCTTCAAGTTAAAGAGCGTCTCTGTACCCTTCACCTTGGCTTCGGAAGCTCTAATTAATCGATTTACGGCACACAGCTGCTCTAGTTCTTCATGTTTTTAAGTGGGACCATCTCTTTCCCCCTCCCCTCCCACATCTCTTTGTTCATCGTCTTCATCTCCTTGGGCTTCAACTCCAGAGCACTTCCTATTCCTTGTTCTGATGGCCACACATTTTCTAGAAAGTTCCACCGCTGGTGAGGAATGGAGATATCAGAAGAAACGCAGAACTCCCTGCCAGGCCAGGAATAAAGACTGCTCTTCAGCCGAAATGGCCGATTAAAACATTTTTTTTTTTTTAGCTCAAAATGGCAGCTGCTGGGAAGCATGTAGCTACATGTTCTAAAGAGCTCAGATGTTTCCACTTCTTGTTTGAAAAAGAAAAGAAGGGGGGGGTGCAGAGAGATGCTGCTACAATTCTGGAGCAGCCAAAGGAGGGAGGTACCTGTCTGTAATTCAGCATCAGGTCGGGAAGAGCTATGTGTCTGTCACATCGGATCTCAGGGCCACTCTTCATGCGGGAGCAAGCTCACTCTTTTCCCACACCCCTGAACGAAGGGCTCTGGTTTGATTTCCCAGACTTCCCTCCGCACGAAGGCGAGACTCACTGCAAGCGATGTCCTTCCCGGGAATCTGGCAGCTTCTGACTTTTCTAAAACCTCGCAGCCCTCGAAGGCCCTCCCTACACAACTCTCCACGCGCCCCAATCTTTTTTTTTTTTAATGAAACGTTCATTTCCGTATTACCACTTCATGGTTCTCTCTTGCCTAGAAGTAGCCTTGAGCACCGGGGGCTGGCTGGCTTTTAACAAGTGAACAATGTCAGAAGTCTTTGAAGAGCCACTCAGAACATTTTTCTATTCGAAAACTCACTAAATATTTTACACTCGTGGCCTACCAGTCGTGGACAGCTCATTTTTTAAAATGCACTGGAAGACGCTCAGCAAGACGGTCGGCCCACTCCCCTCCCCTTCCCGGGACCAGAGGTGATGACCCCCTCCCTCCTCAAGCTCAGGACCGCCTGCCCAGAGGTGAGCTGGAGGCTCAGCCCAGGAGTGGACGATGTTGCCAGCAGCCCAGACAGGACGCACTTCCCACCACGCTGCTGCTGGGCCTGCCGAGGTTCCGAGGGACAGGTGGACGCCTACATTATGCCAAAGTGACGTCAGACCTGGCCTAGAGACCTAGAAATGTCAGCTGCACTTGGATCACTAAATCAGGCTTGGCAACTGAGAAGCCAGGGCCCATGTCTGTCCGTGCTTGCTTCCTTCCTCAGACATTTTTACTCCTCAGTTAGCAGAAACGCAGACTGGATCTTCTTTGCTTTTAATGGCTCTAAAGGTGGTCCTTCTGTTTGTCTCAAATTCGAAACCTTCCCTTCCCACGAGCCTCGATGGCGGCATGGGCTCATACACCTCTGCCTTGGCATTCACAGCTCAGTGAGGTCGATCAAATCACCACCTCTCTGAGCCTCGGTTTCCTCATCAGTAGAATGGGAATAACACAGCTGCCTCCAAAGAGGGCTGGAGGTATCCGGTGAGACCCTGCATGCGGATACATGCCGTCGATCGTGCACCACTGTGCAGAGGTGTGTAGGTTTCGGTGTTTAGTATCCATCTTTATACCTGGCAGGTGCATGCGTGTTTCAGCGATGCCTTTCTGTGTAACTCCAGCAGTAATGAAGCCTGGGAGGAATTTTAATGCAGCCTGCCTAATGCATTAGAGGTTCCGAGGGAAGTGAGCACTTGCAAATGTCGAGGAAACATCATTTTTCCTTGCGACTCTTGGGAACCGACAGGCAACTGGGCTGCTGCAGATGAAGTGAGTCTCCCTCTGCTAGTAGGGGTTTTGTTTTGTTTCGTTTTTAATGAGCACTTAAATAACTGTTCCTCCTTACTCTGCCAGTTACTCGAATGACACCAGTAATGGTATCGGGGATGTTCAATAAAAAACACACCTTTAATTGAGTGATTATTCAACAAAAAGTCTGTAACTGAGCACGCTAGTTTAACAGGTCTCTCCAAAGGCCAACCGATACCATCCAAAGGGCACTCGCACCTGCGCGAGATGCGGTGGGTCCAGCTGCTGCTCAGAGGGGGGCCAGCAAGGATGCCTAACCTCCCAGCTCGAGCAGGGCCATGTTCTCCGAAGCCGGCAGCAAAATCAGAATCCGGCCGCCCGGCCGCAGAGGTCAGACCTGGGTCTTGGCTGCACACAGCCCTCCATGGTTTGGAAAGTGCTTTACAGCTGGTTTGGTATTTCTGCATGCGTTAGCGCATCGCGTCATTACTCACAC